AGAATCTGAAATTTTCAAAGCGGACATACATTACTCGACTGACAAAAAAAAATGTATGTACAACGTCCTACATCGGCTAAAATATTTTTGACAATAGTTCATATTATTATAAATAAGACCAACATGTTTCGAACTACGAATGAGTAGTACGCTTGATTATCATGCATCCAAATTTAAAATTTTTATTTTATATTATATGGTTCTAAGTTTGAGCAAATTAAAATTTTAAAAAGCTTCAAAATATTATAAACGTTAATTTAAAAGTTTTAAAACTTTTAAGATTTTTTGAAAATTTTCAAAATATTTTAAATTTTTATCTTTTAAAATTTCAATATTTGTAATAATTTAAACTTTAAGATTTATATATTATAAATATTTAAATTTTAAAAGGTTTGAATATTATAAATAATAATTGATAACTTTGCAACAGGTCAGAACATATATTAAAATAATTGATAATTTTGCAACGGGTGAGAACATGATACATACCACTTAAGTTTTACAACCAAATACTTTGTAATACCAAATCTTACAATTACATAAATATGATTTCAAATTATATGGAAAAATTATTCAATTTTAGTGAAAACTTTTTTATTAAGAAATATATTACTATAAACTATATAGATTAACGAAACAGAATAATTACCCCCCCTACTGCCAATTGCAAATTTGCAACTATTTGATTAATAATGTTTATTTATCATAAAAATTATCAACACAACCGGAAAAATCTCTTATTAGGAAAATGTTTTCGTTAATAGAAAATCAAGTTGAAACTTTTCCCCCGCGCTGTAGCGCGGGTCCGATTCTAGTTTTCCTGTAATAAGACGGCGACAGACGAGCGAGCAAAAGCGGCGGCTCGATGACGGTGGGATTTGATCGGTGTGGAAGATGGAGTTTTGCCCAACATGTGGGAACTTGACCAAGTCGTTCTCTTCTTCTTGCTTTGGTTGGTTACTTCATAGTTCAACCACCAAGTTATGAAATGACCGCATTACCCTCGCCTGGATTCAAGGTCAAAAGGCCCCGGAAACTAAGCGATTCGTCATCAATGACTTTGTATCTCGTTGGTCGCATTTGGATTTTGAGATAAACTAACGCCGTTAAAAGACTCCGTAACGGGTTAGTTCAACAACTCCAGTTTCTTCGTCCAATCAAATCATAGATGCCACTCCAGAAAACGTTACTTTACCTATATCTCGATGACGTCAGATCCCACCGTTAGAGCTCACACTTGTAACACCGTTTCCTGCATTTTCCACAAGCACGGAGGAGAAAAGCTTTGTGTGTAGAGAGAGAGAGAGAAAGAGAGAGAGAAAGAAGAAAGAATAGGTTTGCTTACGAACAAGATGGAGAAAGAAGAGTTAAAGCCAGGGGATCATATCTACACTTACCGAGCAGTCTTCGCTTATTCTCACCATGGTAACTTTAGATTTATGCTTCCCAAGTTTCTTCCTTTGTTTCTAGATAACTCCATCATGTTAGAAAATATCCGATTTTGTTAATGTAGGTCTTGTCTTCTGGTTTCTAGTTACTTACTTGGTTACTTTTTGATTTAAATCTTCTATGTTTTTGGAACCGTAAATTCTCAAAGTTAATTACTTTGTTTTATTGAAATCAAATTTTTGCATGACCTAATTTTACACTGGCCCAGTATTTTGTTGTTATTCAGCCTCTGTTGTATCTCGTCGACTTTATGGATTGTTTATGTTTATTCACATTTTCAACATATTTGATCCCAGATTCCTATGTTGATGGATGTATACACTGTTGTAGGCATTGCATCAAAGTTGTAATGGGATTTAATTTGATTGTTGGATACCAATATTTTTGCAGGGATCTTTGTCGGTGGGTCCAAAGTTGTTCATTTCAGACCTGAACACAACCCCATGGAGTCATCATCATCATTATCAATATCATCTTCCTCTGATGATATTTGCTCGATATTTCCTGATTGCGGTTTCAGACAACCAGACAGTGGAGGAGTCATTTCTTGCTTAGACTGTTTCCTCAAGAACGGTTCACTCTACTGCTTCGAATATGGAGTCAGTCCACCGGTTTTTCTCACCAAAGTCCGCGGAGGCACTTGCACAACCGCACAATCTGATCCAATTGATTTAGTCATCCACAGGGCAATGTACCTTCTACAAAACGGATTTGGCAACTATGACATTTTCAAGAACAACTGTGAGGATTTTGCGCTCTACTGCAAGACGGGTTTGCTTATAATGGATAAGCTAGGTGTAGGGAGAAGCGGTCAAGCTTCTCTTCAATTGTTGGTGCTCCTTTGGCTGCAATTCTCTCTTCTCCTTTCAAATTACTGATTCCAAATCCCATTGGTGTAGCTACAGTTACTGCTGGAATGTATTGTATTAGCCGATATGCTACTGACATTGGTGTTAGAAGTGACGTCATTAAGGTTTCAGTTGAGGATTTGGCTCTCAACCTTGACGTGAAGACCATTGAAGAAGAAGAAGAAGATTCTGATACCAAGTATCTTAGGTGACAAACTCACACATCTCTTCTACAATACCAGATTAAAAAAAAAAAAAACTCTGTTGAAATCCTCAGCTTGTTGTGTATTATTTTTCAAATGTTAGTAATGTAAAATTTGACTTTTAGCAAAGACTAAAAAATAAAGTTGCAAATTCTAATAACGTATGTTTGTACTTGTTGAGTAATACTTTGGTAAGTGGGTATCAAAACGCAACCGTTTTGTTATAAGTAATGTAAAATATCCCAAATAATAATGAATTCCACTGTAGATGCTAAAAAGGAGTCGTCTTTCACGGGCACACATAATTAAACCAAACAAACAACAATCCATCTTCTCGCCGAAAGAGAGAAGTTTGTGAATCTGGGTTTTCAATTCTCAGGTGTTAATATAAGTTTTTGATCGATACCCAATCTCTAAGGAAGACGAGATTCGATCCGATCGATTAGGTTTATAGGGAAGAAATAATGGCGAATCTGTACGTGAAAGCTGTTCCACCACCGGATATGAACAGGAATACGGAATGGTTCATGTATCCAGGAGTTTGGACTACTTACATGCTCATTCTCTTCTTCGGTTGGCTCGTTGTTCTCTCTGTCTCTGGTTGTTCCCCTGGAATGGCTTGGACTGTTGTTAATCTCGCTCACTTCGTTGTAAGTCTTCTTCTTCTGCTCTTACCTTTCGAATTCCATGGTTCCATGATTGTTTACGGCCTTCACTTACGATTGTGACTTTGATATTAGATGTTCGATTGATTGTTGAATTGTTTCCTTTTTTTTTATACCTCGATTTCCTGAGATCTGGATTTGAATCTAGTTATGAGTTTATTCATCTGGTTACACAGCAGCTTTTGAATTGGTCTCGTGGGTTTATCAGCTATTTCCTAGTGCATTAGGGGTTCGAGATAAGATTTGCAAGGACCTTCTGACTTTGTATTGATCAGTTTGGTTATCTTTATGTTTTGAGTTTTTTTATCAGGCTTCGAAATTAGATACAATAACCTTTCATTGATCAGTTTTGCTACCAGCAGTTTTGAATTGATCGGTTTGTATAGTACCAGCAGTGTTGAGTTGATCAGAATTTGAATTCAGATTCAGTTCTCTTCTAAATTTGATTCGATCAGTTTTGGTATCAGTTTTGGTATCAGTTTATAGTTGATCAGGCTACGAATTAAGATGCACCTTCTGGTTGATCAGTTATGGTATCAGAAACTGAATTACCTGTGGCGTCAATGCATTTCCCTTATGGTTTAGCTGTTAGGGTGACTTGTAAATTGGCATTGTTTGATCAAAACCAAATTTAGTCGAATTTTTAATTACTCTTTGGAAAATGTGAAGTTTGAGTAGCGTTTGTGGATATTTGTTGTCAGGTAACGTATCACTGCTTTCACTGGATGAAAGGAACTCCTTTTGCAGATGACCAAGGAATCTACAATGGTTTAACTTGGTGGGAACAAATGGACAATGGTCAACAACTTACCCGCAACCGCAAATTCCTTACTGTAGTTCCTGTTGTCCTGTAAGCCCCAAGCCGCTTGTTCCTTTAAATCTCAGCATTCTTCTCTGTTTTCAATCTACATTTTCTTAGCAATTCATTCCCTTTAGCTGCATATATTCTTTGTGTCTCATATGGTTCATATGCTAAATTCACACAATCTAAAACTAGTAATGTGTAGTTGACTTGTTCTAGAGAACTTGGGATACCTGATACTGTGTCCAAACAAGAGCTGCATTTATCTCATTGTAACTTATAAGATTGAGCTCTTTATCTCTTGACTTTTATAAAACAACTTATAAGATTGACCTCTTTATCTCATGGAACTTATATGATTGAGCTCTTTATCTCTGTGTCGGGTTTTTGACTTAAAAGATTTGTTGTCACTGGCTTTTTGGTTTACAGGTACTTGATAGCATCGCATACAACAGATTACAGACATCCATGGCTGTTCCTCAACACACTAGCTGTGATGATTCTGGTTGTTGCCAAGTTCCCCAACATGCACAAGGTACGCATCTTTGGCATAAATGGTGATAAGTAAGTTTCCTTTTGCGGTAAGAGAACACCAGGAAGAAGAGAAAAGGCAAACATATATATGTATAAATGTTCATATGAGTTGGTTTAATCCGAGAGTTCATGGTCTTTTGTTGGATATTTGTAAGTAACTAATTTTGAAGCTTTGATCTTTTTTTCCTTTTAATATAGACACGAAATTCATAAAGCTTTCTCTATAGTTTATCCCCCACTACTTCACTTCCAAGTTCGAACAATGTCACTCGTTACAACATATCATGTAATGTACATCATACAATTAAATGTATGACCTTTGTTGGGTGAACGATTTTAGGCTTTGATGTTAGTACATGAGCTGCCTAGGAATGGCCCAAATACGCATGCTGTGACTCATGATGTGTATATCCATTCCATCATATCGCGAGGGATGTGTTTGATTGAGCGTAATAAATGATTCAGTGGGATCTATAAAGAACACGTGGCAGACTAGAAGATCTCTAACAGCTAGTTAGTGATACGTGTCACATTGAAAGTCCACCTGGATGGATATAACATGTCATGGTCTACGTATACAAAATAGTTTAAACTTTAACCCCTAGTTTAATTGTTGTATAAAGCACTGAAAAAGGTGATTCTCTAACAAAAATAAACAAGTAACGTGATTACAAATTTGTAGATTTAAACCAAAAGCATGGTGTTCCTTGCAAAAATTAAAGCCGACAAAAAGAAGCAATGACTAATTTAAGATGGAATAGGACTAATGATTTTTTTTCTTTTATTATCTTAATTGTGGTCCTATGTTTCAACAAAACAAATACAAATATAATAATAAAAACACCTTATCCTTTAAATCGAAGAGGGGTCCACATATCATAACAACCGTCGATTGTTTATGTAGTTAACACGTGTTGCGAATCCAGCTGTTTTCAGATGCTTACCAAGCCAACAAGTTAACGAAACTGTGTCGTTTTGTCCTAACTCGGAAGCTTTTTCACGGAAGAAACTGTAAAATTCGTTCAATGGGGCCGGAGTGTGAACGAAGAAAGAACGCAAAAAAAAAAGAAAGCAGAAAAGCCAAAAGCTTCGGTTGCAAGATCGCTTCATTTTATTATAGAGATTCATGGAATCTTTAGACTACTTCTAATAATGGTATCTTTGAGTTGTTACTCCGTTTTCTGTTCATATTGTTATTATACAAATCTTACTGCTCTTCTCTGTTTTTATGCTCTGATCTAGATAGAAGTCTCTCTTCGATCTGACTGTTTTCTCGTCGATCAGCGATGATTTCTTATGGTTTTATTTGATGGGTCAACTTCTGATTTTGGGATTTCTGATAAAGTTGGTAAATTTACTCGATTCAAGTGCAAAATCTTACGCATGATCTTTGATTACGCTAGACATGTTTTGTTGTTGTTCTGCAGTATGTTTCAATTGCTCTGAAACTTGAGTTTTGTTGTTTTGGTTATGAAATTTATCTTCTTCATGTCTGGACCGTCTTTAAGTTGAATGGGTTTGATTTTGTGGCTGATTATTTTGTGAAGAAGATGCTTGATCCCAAGATTTGCGTGTAGTATTGTTTAATTAAATTCCTTAAATCATTCGCTTGTATATGAGTCAATCATTTACTTAGAAGCAATCTCGGGAGTAGCAGCAAAAAAAAATATCCTATTAGTTTTATGTTTCAATTGCGGGATCTAAGGGAAAGAAAGAACCAAATTTAGTTTTTGGTTCAGAAATATTTAAAAGTGTCTTTTCATTACGTGTGTGTGTTTTCCCCTTTTCTCTGAACTTTTTAAGAGTTCTTGTGTCTCAACATTGATGTAGTAATGGGAGCAGCTGAAGCAAGAGCATTGTGGCAAAGAACAGCAAGTCGTTGCTTTGCTGTTCATGAAGATGCTAAAATGGCTCCGAGGTTAGCTTGTTGCCAACACCAACATTCTTCTTCGGGCAACACCGAAAAAAACAGTTTTTCTTCCGGAAGTTTTGGAGATTCCTCTGATTTCTCTTGTGATACCAAATGGTGGCTCAAGGGATCAACTGGTTTTGATGAGGAGATTACAAACTCCTTTTTAGAAGATACCAAATGCAAGAAATTGCAAGAATTTGTCGACTTGATCGGGATACAAGAAGAAAAAGAAGACTACAGCTTTATTGGCTCGAAAGCTACGCCATGGTGGAGGAGCACGACGGATAAAGAAGAATTAGCTCTCTTGGTGGCGTCTAAATCAAGCGATCATAATATCCAGAATTGTGATCTTCCTCCACCTCAAAAACTCCACAAGAGTATTCACTGCACCAGTGGCGAGAAAGGATTCAAAACAGCGGTTAGATCGCCATGGAAACAAGGAGTTTGTAGCGAGCGGTTTGAGAAATCTTTGAGTTACAATAGTAGCACAGAGAGCAAGAACACGAGTCCAATGTCTTCTCCTAGAAGTGATGATCTAAGCAAATCTCAGCTTTTAGAAGCGTTAAGGCATTCTCAAACAAGAGCAAGAGAAGCAGAGAAAGCAGCAAGAGAAGCTTGCGCTGAGAAAGACCGTGTGATAGAAATCTTGTTGAGACAAGCGAGTCAGATGTTGGCTTATAAGCATTGGCTAAAGCTTCTTGAAATGGAAGCTCTTTATCTGCAGATGAAGAAGGAGGGTGAAGTAGAAGAACAGATCAAAGGAATGAATCTGAAGAAGAGGAAACAGAGAAGGGAGAAGAAGAAAAAGGGTGAGATTGGGAGATATATGATGGCTTTTGCAGTAGGGTTTAGTCTCATTGGTGCTGGTTTGCTCTTAGGTTGGACTGTTGGATGGTTTTTTACCTTGTAGAAACTGGAAAATGTCTTTTGTGTGATCACTGATCTTGGCAAGAGTTTTAGGGTTTATAACTTTTCACTTTGGCTCTAAAATTGTGGGTGTGTAAGTTGTCTAAATGTATGTATTTTGTGGTAATATCTCTGTTATAGATAATCAATTATAAAAGCTTATTTTCGATACGATCTGTCTCTCCTCTACACATACTGTAATTGAGAAGAAAAGTGATTGCAAACATGGAAATGCATTAGAAGCTTGAGAATGTTGTAATCAAAGAAATCTCGTTATTTGAGATGACAAAAAAAAAAAAAATAAAAAAAAATCTCGTTATTCAATATTTCTATGTTAGACTATATATATTTGACCCAATTTGCTAATCCAACGGCCCAGATGTCCTGGAAACAATTTTCAGACCCAAACAAATTTTTCTTAATATACATTATATGATTGCTACTTTGCTGTATTTTCATTTAAAAAAAAAAAACATGTATGCAGTATACAAGTTTACATTTTGACATGTCCTCATCATCAAATATTCAAATGTATTTTAATTTCAATATCTTTTGTTTGTACAATTTAAGGAAAAAGAGAATAAAAAAACTGTCTTTATTCAAGAATATAGATAGTCATTATTATTATTTTCACCATATTTTTGGGTCAAATTTGATATTATATCTCTGTATAGATTCTGAATGATAGTTGTAAGATGCTTTATTGAATATCCAGGAGAAAGATCATTGCGTACTACAGTTCAAAAAGATTTCCCGATTTATAGAGAAAAAGCAATATTCGGTTTTCTTGGATGCTATGATCGAGTTCCAAAACCACTAAATAGCTCTAGATTGTAGTTGAATTCAAGTCCAACAAATCCTCGTCTGAAACAATAAATTCGAGTATCGTTTTTAGCCGTTATTTTATTAAAACGTGGAGTATTAAATATCTTAATATGTGGTGCAAACTCGTATTATTATGAATCTATGATGGCACAAAAAGGACAAAAAAAATAATAATTTCAAAAATTCCCACCCAGACAGACAAGTCTTGGTTCTATGCGAGTACCATCTCCGCGTCGTCGTCTTGTCGTGTGTCCTACAACAACACCCCCCTACTATTAATTATTACAGACAGTACTATACAGCTTAATGTTGCACATGCCAATATTGAAGGATTAATTGGTCAAAATAACTCAAAATGTAATGCAAGGATTCATTTGCTAAACGACTTAGGATGAGTACATAATGTGGAGAAAAGATTCCACATCGGAAGATGTGAGGGGACTTCAGTAATATATAAGGGATTAGGGCCAATCCACTCATTGCCAATTGGTTTTGAGTTGGAAACCCATAACAAACCCTAATTTAACACCCTCCTAAGCTAGACACATGATATACTAAATCCTAAACTTAACTCCATAAATGTATATTTACAGTATATACCGTTTCATTCAAAAGTATTATTCGAAAAACCAATACTACATTAGGTTATGTGTGGAGAAAAGATCCCACATCGGAAGATGTGAGGGGACTTCAGTAATATATAAGGGATTAGGGCCAATCCACTCATTGCCAATTGGTTTTGAGTTGGAAACTCATAACAAACCCTAATTTAACAGAGGGTCTCGAACTGGATTTTTAAAAGAACCTGTATTGGTAGGAACAAACATATTTATGGCCCAATTCTTAACACGTATCTTTATACTCATCTTACATTTTTGGAGGATGAATTGAATGGTACTAACTTATTAAGATGATCAAAGTTTTTGGTCGAAAATACTAAAGTGCTATAGGAAACAACTGTTAAGAAAACGTAGCTTCTACTTTTACAATAATAATCATTAACGTAGTTCTATAGGTGTTATTAAACATCGTTCAGTCGAAAAAACTTTGGCTTGCTTGAATTCTGTCTTTTGACTAAAATCACCAAACGCAAGTCTTACCCAAAAAAAAAAAATCACCAAACGAAGTGCTGGATTTATAAATAGGAAATAGGACGTACTGTCGTTTTAGTGTTGTATAAACGGCATGACATAATTATGGCCCGCTCGTTTTCCTCTCCTGAAGCCTTTGGTGGTAAAAACAACTGACTCCAACAGTCCAAAGAAGCAACGAGCCATCGAGAGGACACAATAGTCTTTTTCACTTCTGATCATATTTATTACACTTCTTGTTAATGGTTTCGCCTAAACATAGCTTCAGTACTGACAGTAATATTTGTTTGCGACATTTATAATGTATAAATGAAGCTTTGAGTACTGATGATATTATTAACATCTTGGAACAAAGTAGCTCACTGTCAGGGGAAATTGAAAGCTAAGTGAACAAATTTATGAATATAAGTTCAAAAATTTGGTGTATACTAGTAGTATAAGTGTTATATTCCAAACACATCAAGAGAAACATATCAATCTAGAACCCCATGACTCATTTAAGGAGTTTTATTTTTCTTTGTTTGTTTTCTATAGAAAAACAAAACAAATAAATACTGATAAGTATCAATAGTAATTTCAAAATTGATTATTTGATACAATTACAATATGGGATATGGGTCCCGACAACTATTGCATGAACAACGATAGAAATTGGACCAAAATTAGGAATTTTGCTAGGTACCGAATTTATACTTTTCCTACAAACAATATTATATTATATACTTATAAATATATTTTTTTCTTCTATCGTAGGCTCTTAACAAAAATTTCATAAGTTTGAACCATCTGTTAATCAGCAATTACAATATATATATATACATATATTTTTAAACATCAGTTAAAGCACGTCATTGTAAAGTTGCACCAAAAACTTTTTAAGAAGGTTAAATTAAAACTAAAACTCTATGTAAGAACATACATATATAAGTACTAGTGTTTCAAGATCATACAAACAGGATAATTAAAATTTGAAGAAACAGGTGCATCTAATTATTTTAATCACGTAAAAATAATAAAAATAAAAATATACAAATGCATTAAATAAAAATATAGCAACACAATAACGATACAACGTACACGTATAACGAATACGACACAATCGATAGCAACACTCACAGACACGCCATGAACTGATACTGATACAAGTCTCCGTCCACAAGCCACGTGGCATCCTCTCCGGTTACAAATGGCTCCGGCGACCAACCTCCCCCGCTCGTCATCATTAGCTCCGGCAGCTCAATGCCTTCCCAGAAATCATCTCCTCCTCCGACGTCGTCTATCTCTGCCACCTCATCGTCTCCCATTTCGATGATCTTGACGGCGTTTGCTGCTTTTGCCGCCGCGACCTGGATATCCCTGGCCGTACACGTGGACGGTCGAGGCAGATCGTCGATTTCGTCGGGGAAGTTGAGCTGAGCTTTCCTACCTTTGAGACAAAACGCCGCCACGTCATAGGCTTTAGCGGCCATCTCCGGCACGGGGAAGGATCCGAGCCAAATCCGAGACTTTTTGCGGGGCTCTCTGATCTCAGATACCCATTTCCCCCACCGGCGTTTGCGAACTCCGTGGTACACTGGATGCCTCGTCGTCGAGCTGGTCTCTCTACCGCCGACGCCACAAGATTTAACGGCGGAAGCGGTGGCTGTTGGTTCGTTGTTGGCAAGTGGTGGTGGTGGTGAGAGCTTCATTCTCTGTTGTGACATTAATAAAGAGTTTGTTTTGTGGTTAAGTCACACTGTTATCTCTACATTTATAATCTCATCCCATCCCATTTTTCTAACCAAAAAGCGTTACTGCTGCTCCCTACACGAATTTACCTAAATACCCCCAACTTATGTATTTTTTACTTAACAACATCTTTTTGATTATCCGGATGTAAATTTTCTAGAAAATTGATCTAATGCCAAATTAATGGTTTAGTACCAATTTACCTAGTGAATATCTATTTTATAGTATCATATTCAGCTGGATCAAAACAGACCAGTTAAAGTGCTTGTAACAAGAAATATATATTACCACTAGAATAATAATAAAAAAGCTGCGAAATCTTTGCATAAGAACAAAATCTAAGATCGTGGGGTTATATGATGTACCCGATGATATGAAAAAAGTTAAAAATGTCAAATTAAACTTAAGAAAGTTTAAATGTCAAATCTTTGTCTCCCAGCAATCGGGAGTGGTGGGGAAATGTTTTCAATATAGCTCATGCTACTGCTGACGTTCTGTCCTATAGTTTTTGCACCTTTATTTTCCGCAAATTGGTATAAATGTGCCCATGGCAAGAAATTAGACTAATATAATTACCCTGTTATGTAATCTTATGTCGTCTGAAAAGATTATGAACCTAAAGTCTTGAAGAGTTTTAAGAATAAAAAACAATAATAATTATATAGTATGTAATAGCTTATTGATTAGTTTTGAACAAAAAACAAAAGCTTAGTGATTAGCATGAGTACCTAGTGATCATATCTTGACATTTCATAGTCAACATTACGTAGTGTGGATACACGTTGCATATGAAGAAAACCCCATAGACATTTCACTCTCCAAAAATTTCATACAACTTTGGCTAAAAAGGTGGCATTACAAAAAATTTTGTATAGCATGCATGCCATGATCGTGAAATTTGTATCTACAAAAAAACCCTTTTTTTCTTTTCTAATTATATAATTTAAGTTATTTTCATATACTTGGGCGACGCAGGTCCACGGAGGTTGCTTTTTAAATGTAGCATTGATTGTTTCTTCGAGGGACCATATACAGTCTAAACTATAGTCTATACCACTCAAGAGATCTTTCTTAAACTACTCAACAAAGTTTTCCTTTGTGGTGTTGCTACTGAAATTACCGTTGCATGAATAAGAAAAAACTTATCCCATGGTAATACGATTATTGAAAGAAAAAAAAAATTAGCTAAAGTTTTATATTAAGGGGGGTAATAAATTTAAGATATCACAAGAAAAATCACGTTTGGGTACGGTGATTTATAATTTAACATCAAAAGAGGACTACTTGATCAATATCACCTGAAGTAGTGAAGTCTATGGTTTACACATTGTAACCCATCATCACGTCACTACATATTAACAAGGATATATATATAATAGTGCCAAGTAATTAATTAATAGTGCCATCAATAACATTAATTAGGTTTAAAAGTAAATGGGAAATAGCTAGCAAGAGGTGCATGCATATTATTTACATCAGTTTTGTCTTTAGGTGGTTTCCTTTGTAACGAATCTAAACACTTGTTCGTTTTTAAAACATTAAGTAACTGAAATAATTATAACAGTATGCATATGTGTCGTCTTTGTTTGGATTGAGCTTCAAGTTTTTCTTCTTTCTTCATAAAATGAGTGCATTAAGTTTTGGTCGGTGCTTTTTGCACTTTTCTTGAGATTTTCTTAGATGTAAAGTAGTCTCTTATTATGATTTTTTTTTTTTTTTTTTTTTTTTTTTTTTTTTTGTGTGGCTGTTACCAAAAAGGTGACGATTTTTGTAGACGTTTATAAAACACGAAGTTCGTTTAAAAAAAAAAATGAATATATCAACTATAGACACCAAAATGCATAGGATAAGCTTAATGTTACATTTCTCAAACTACAGTTTACAATCGCACCTACAAATCTATAACCATTTTTGGATCGTTTTGGGATAAATTTATGAATCTAACAAAGATAAACGACAAAATTAATATATGATTTTGAGAATTGAGATACATTAAATGTTCCTTGTATCCTCTTGACTCTATTAGCTGTTTCTCAGAATATAAAAACCGAGTCTGTTTACGTTACAAAAGGCAATTCCAATATTGATTGCTTAAGGTAGGAGGAATTGGGAGTGGGCGGCAGTAGCAAAAAAGGCTAAAATAACGTTGATCTCAGCCCATGTACGGCCCAAATATTATAATCGAGACCCGATGACATGTAAACATCGGCCCATAATTGTAGTCGTAGTTTTATTGACATTTTAGGTAGAGAAGGCCAGAAGGGGATGGGGAATAGAAAGACCCAAAAAAACGTCTCGTCTCGATAAAAGGGATAGTTCAAACACGTGAATCACACGGTCCCCACTTTTGCTGTGTGTTTCTCACCGCCATATACAATATATATATATATATATATATATTTATTTATTATACCCACACTCGTGACTCCATTTTTTCACATTATTATCTTTTATTTTCAATATTTTTATTTTTTTGCATATACTAGAAGTTCTGAGATAGTCTAGAACTATATCATTAGCAGCAGTAGTCTCTTTTTATTTTTTACTTTTGTTAAAGTGATGATAATGTTGAAAGTGAAAACTGTATAAATCAGTTAATTGTGTGTATGTATGTATGTATGTAGTGCAAAACATACATTACGCTCTTTAGCGAAAACATAGAAAAATAATAATATGACAATACTAATAAAATACGTTACAGTAGAGAGAAGAAGAAAGAAAAAGAAGCAATGAAAATTAAATGCATCTCACGTTCTTCTCATTCTTGACTCTCTCTCCTCGATTCACGTGAATATCACGTGCTTTTCACGCCCTTCTCTCTCTATCGAGTTTGGCTGTCGTGTGTTGGCGCTTTTGGCTACATATATAACATATCAACTTTGTCAACAAAATAAAACCAAATTAATTCCTTTTTTTTTTAATCAACAAAAAAAAATAGGGATGCCAAAATAATATTGTAACTTTTTTTTGGGGTAGACTAGAAACATGGAAATGTATGTAAACATATACTAATAGAAAATATTAAGCTTAAGCAACAACCCTTCACAACAACAAAATCAATTACTGAAGCCCTCCCCTCCTACTGAATTGTTTTGGTCAAAGTTTCCGGTGCTTGACCACCCGACTAATTAGCATACTGCATACTGAATTTACAAAAAAAAAAAAAAAAAAATTATAAAAGGAAACAAAAAGCAGATTACTAATTTTGGGTTTGGTTTCCCCTTTTGTGAATGCACAAATACTATAATTTTATGTGTGCTGTACATAAGAATCTAATCAAAGTCCTCAGATACTCTCGTTTAGATCTACTTCACCAGTTGAGATAGATCTGATCCAAATTTTAATTATATTAAATAAAAAAAACCATACTTGAAATATTTTATTGTCAAATTATTGACCAAAACTATGACATATTTTAAGGTTTTTAACTTAACATCTCGTCGTCGTCGTCGTCGTGTATCAAAGACTCGAGACAAAAGACAAAACTATTAGCCGGACCAACTCGACCCGACCCTGTATAAAGTTTAGGTTAACACAAACCTGTGGTTAAAATAGGTAACCATGGTTAAATAAATAAATAAAAAAGGTCTGGTTTATAATTTGGGATGGGGTTTTAATAAAAAAGAGCACGAAGAACATGCGTCGGACTTTCTCTCTCTTCCTTGAATTCATTCAATTGGCCACGGCGACAAAAGAGGCAGCAGCGATAGAGAGAGAGAGAGCAAAGAAACCGAAACCAAAAATTTGTTCTTTTTTAAAAAAATTTCAACCTATTTGTGCACTTTTTATCGATTAGCAGGGTTCTTTTTCGGGGAATTTAGGTGATTTGTTTGTTCATTTTGGGTTTGGGTAGATAGAAATATATTTAAAGTTTGGTTTTTTTTTTTTGGTCGGATGGTTTTGTGAGAGAAAAATATATATATATATATATATATATCAGATTTTGAGGGAGAGATTATCTCGGTGGATGACTAATTGGTTTGAATCTTCTTTACTGGTAAAAAAAGTACTTACATGTCTTGTTAATTTTCATTTTCTATTTACTCGATTCTTTCTGTGATGGTTTTTATTCCTTTTTTCAAAAATTTTGATTTTTATTTCTTTTGGATTTTGTGATGTTAAAAATAGGGCAAGATCTGAGATCTCTGGTGGTTCCATGCAAGGCTTTTGTTATACCCCGCCGTATCTTCGCATCTGGGGTCACTTATAAACCCTAGAATTTGACCAAGCATCGATCTGGGTTTCTTAAAAACCTCTCTCCTTTTTGTTGGATCCAAAGGAAGACAAGAGAGAGATGAATATTGGTGGCGTAGTGTGGAACGAGGATGATAAAGCCATTGTTGCTTCGTTACTGGGCAAACGAGCTCTCGATTACTTGCTTTCCAATTCGGTTCCGAATGCGAACCTCTTGATGACTGTTGGAAGCGACGAGAATCTACAGAACAAGCTCTCGGATCTCGTGGAGAGACCCAACGCTTGTAATTTCTCATGGAACTACGCCATTTTCTGGCAGATTTCGAGGTCAAAGGCAGGGGATTTGGTACTCTGTTGGTGCGATGGGTCCTGCAGAGAGCCTAAAGAAGGTGAGAAATCAGAGATCGTTAGGATCTTGAGCATGGGAAGAGAAGAAGAAACGTACCAGACGATGAGGAAGAGGGTTTTGCAAAAGCTTCATGCTATGTTTGGTGAAGTTGAAGAAGATAACTGTGCTTTAGGATTAGATAGAGTTACTGACACTGAGATGTTTCTACTTGCTTCCATGTATTTCTCATTCCCAAGAGGTGAAGGTGGTCCTGGCAAGTGTTTTGCATCTGGTAAACCTCTTTGGTTATCCGATGTGGTCAATTCTGGTTCTGATTATTGTGTTAGATCGTTTCTTGCTAAATCTGCTGGAATTCAGACCATTGTTTTGGTTCCCACTGATATTGGTGTCGTTGAGTTAGGCTCGACTTCATCTTTGCCTGAAAGTGAAGAGTCCATGTTGTCTATAAGATCATTGTTTTCTAGTACTTTGCCTCCGGTTACAACTGTGCCGGCTGTCGCTTCACCCGTTGTTGCAGCCGAAAAGATTGATGATAACAGAACAGTGAACGCTTCGAAGATATTCGGGAAGGATCTGCACAATTCAGGTTTTCTTCATCATCAGCATCATCATCAGCATCACCAACAACAGCCACAACAACAGCAACATAGACAGTTCAGAGAAAAACTTACGGTTAGAAAAATGGATGATAGAACTCCCAAGAGATTAGATGTTTATCCGAATAATGGGAACAGGTTTATGTTTTCGAACCCAGGCAACAACAACAACAACAACACTCTTCTGAGTCCTACATGGGTGCAACCGGAGAACTACATGCGGACGAACAATGTGAAGGAAGTTCCAACCAAGGAAGATTTCAAGTTTCTACCTTTGCAGCAATCATCGCAGAGGCTTCTTCCTCCTGCTCAAATGCAGATTGATTTCTCTGCTGCGAGTTCAAGGGCGTCCGAGAATAATTCAGATGGAGAAGGAGGAGCGGAATGGGCAGACGCGGTGGGTGCTGATGAATCTGGTAACAACAGACCAAGAAAACGTGGAAGGAGACCTGCAAATGGAAGAGCGGAAGCTTTGAACCATGTAGAAGCAGAGAGGCAGCGGCGTGAGAAACTAAACCAGAGGTTTTATGCTCTGAGATCCGTCGTTCCTAACATTTCCAAGATGGACAAAGCGTCGTTGTTGGGAGACGCTGTTTCTTACATAAACGAGCTTCACGCGAAACTTAAGGTCATGGAAGCAGAGAGAGAGAGGTTAGGGTATAGCTCAAATCCACCTATCAGCTTGGAATCGGATATTGATGTTCAAACATCAGGGGAAGATGTCACAGTGAGGATAAACTGTCCGTTGGAGTCTCATCCAGCTTCTAGAATCTTCCATGCATTTGAAGAGACTAAAGTAGAAGTGATTAACTCGAACCTGGAAGTTTCTCAGGACACAGTATTGCATACGTTTGTGGTAAAATCTGAGGAGTTAACGAAAGAAAAGCTGATCTCGGCGTTGTCTAGAGAACAATCAAGTTCTGTTCAGTCAAGAACATCATCAGGTAGATAGCCTTTTGAGAGACAGAAGAAGGTGGAAGCAAGTTTGTAATCAAGAACCGGTTTTGAATGGTTCTTTTTTTTTATCTTCTAGGTTTCTACTGTTTTTGCTTCTTTTTGGTTTATATACCTGTAAGAATCCTCCAAAACTAGGATTTTAGTAGTCTTGTTGACAAAAGTAGACGTTATCATTCACTCGGTTTACAGTGGACAGAGTTGAAAGAAAAGGATAATGTTTAGGGTTATATCACTTAAGACTCGTAGACTGACTTAAGAATCGTTCTTTCTTCATTCTAATGGTTTCTAAGTGTTAATCGGCAAGTCAGGGAAGGTTGTGAAATTATGATGTCGTGTACACGATACGTATGAATTCGAAACTAGTTTTTAAGTGTTTGTACGAAGCAGTACCATAACCCATCTACGACTGGAAAACAAAATAAAAGTCATAAAAACAGGTTCCACCGAGACTTGAACTCGGGTTACTAGATTCAGAGTCTAGTGTCCTAACCGCTAGACCATGGAACCGCTTGCTACTTTCACTTCAGGGCTGGTATTTACCTAATTTTGATTCCGTGGTGACCATTTTCTCGGAAAAGGTAACCGATTATATACTTCTTTGCGTGTCAAAATACTAATTTTTTAGTGTTCAAATTTTTTCATTGTTAATCAAACTAGATATCCACATTTTGTATCTCAGTCGCTATCCATTCTTTATAATTTACATGTGTTTTTTTTTTAATAATCTTAAAGGGTAATACGATGATTCTTTCAGATATCCTAAGCTAACTCTGTCCTAATAAACCCATTAAAAGAACATGAACAAAGCATGCAATTCGTAAAACTGTCACACAAAGAGAGATACCATGGTTAGATTGTATTTTTTCTTTCTTTCTTAAATGATATAATTGATAGTTCTAACCAAAACCTAGCTACTAGTCTTTCATTATGTGTTATATATTGAGACAACAAAGACCATACGGAATATAGAGAGAACCTGTAGAACATAGAATATACGATTCGATGATTTTGGTGTTGGCTTCCCTCTTCGCTGTTCTCATTCTTAATCTTCTTTTATGGAAATGGCTCAAGGCTTCAGCATGTAAATCCCAAAGGCTTCCTCCAGGCCCACCAAGGTGGCCGATTTTAGGTAACCTTCTCCAATTGGGCCCTTTACCTCACCGGGACTTGGCTACTCTCTGTGATAAGTACGGCCCATTAGTCTACCTCCGACTCGGGAGTATAGATACCATCACAACGAACGATCCCGATACCATCCGAGAGATTCTCTTCCGACAGGACGATGTTTTTGCATCTAGGCCAAAAACACTCGCCGCAGTCCACCTAGCTTATGGATGTGGGGACGTGGCATTAGCGCCAATGGGTCCGCATTGGAAAAGAATGAGGAGGATATGCATGGAACACCTACTTACAACCAAAAGGCTTGAATCTTTTACTACCCAAAGGGCCGAGGAAGCTCGGTATCTTATACAAGATGTCTTAGAACGAGCCGAATCCGGAAAGCCAATAAATCTAAAGGAAGTATTGGGTGCTTTCTCTATGAACAATGTGACTAGAATGCTACTAGGGAAACAATTCTTTGGACCTGGATCTCTAGTGAGTCCAAAAGAAGCTCAAGAGTTTATGCATATAACTCATAAATTGTTTTGGCTGTTGGGTGTTATTTACTTGGGAGACTACTTGCCGTTTTGGAGATGGGTGGATCCGTCCGGATGCGAGAAAGAAATGAGGGACGTGGAGAAGCGTGTTGACAAGTTTCATACTAAGATCATCGACGAGCACCGAAGGGCAAAACTGGAAAATATAGATAATAAGGGAGCATTGGATTTTGTCGACGTTTTGTTGTCTCTACCTGGTGAGAACGGGAAAGAACACATGGATGACGTTGAAATTAAAGCTCTAATTCAGGTATTATTTAATTACGTTAATAAATTGCATGAAACGTACAAAGACATGAAAGAACAATGTTATTTAATAAAATGCGTGTTTTGTAAATTGAATAGGACATGATAGCGGCTGCTACAGACACGTCAGCAGTCACAAACGAATGGGCAATGGCCGAAGTCATAAAGCAACCACGAGTCATGCGTAAAATTCAAGAAGAGCTCGATACTATCGTGGGTTCCAACCGAATGGTCGACGAATCCGATCTTGTCCATTTAAACTATCTACGCTGCGTAGTACGAGAGACGTTCCGAATGCATCCAGCCGGGCCGTTTTTAATCCCTCACGAGTCCGTCCGACCAACAACGATCAACGGCTATTACATCCCAGCAAAGACACGTGTCTTCATCAATACACATGGATTGGGCCGAAACACTAAGTTGTGGGAGGACGTGGAGGTTTTTAGGCCCGAACGACATTGGCCCGTTGACGGTAGCGGACGAGTTGAGATAAGCCACGGAGCGGATTTTAAGATATTGCCGTTTAGTGCTGGTAAGAGGAAGTGCCCCGGAGCTCCATTAGGTGTGACGATGGTGCTTATGGCTTTGGCTCGGCTCTTTCATTGCTTTGATTGGTCTTCACCTGAAAATATTGATACTGTAGAAGTTTACGGCATGACTATGCCTAAGGCTAAACCATTATGGGCTATTGCTAAGCCACGATTGGCAGCTCATCTGTACACTTAGTACACAATGATTTTAGCTTCGTTTAAAATTGAAGTCTAAATTTTAACATATTTCGGTTAATGATTATATAAACCAAGCCAGTTTTAAGAGAACGGTTTATTGGGGTTTTTCACCCGGTTTATCAGAACCCTACATTTAAGTTAACTACCCCGCTTCTTCATCTCTTGTGGTGGAAAAAGAGAAAGAAAAAATGTTTTCGAGGCTCCGTCACGCCGTGTTTCTCCGGCGATTTCCAGCCGTGAATGCTCCCATGAAAAGAGCTTTCAGCAGTAAAATTCAAGATGAAATCGATCCCCAAATGATGAATATAGATGAGCTCAATCAGGTTTTTTTCACTCTTTGTGTCTGTTATTTTGACCTCTGTGTGAATCTGTAACCAGCTACACCAATCAAGCTTTTGAATCGTGTTTAGAAACTAAGCAAATTTCAATGGTTTAGATATTGTGTTTCCGATGGTAGAATTGTGAGAGAATGTAGAGAATTTGATACGAAGTGTTAACTCAGTGATCTTTGATTTTACGATTCTACCAGCTTAATGGTTTCAACATCCTCGTGTTTTTCAGCCGATCATTTGGTGTTTCAGGAAATGAAGTCAATCTTTGGAGAAAAACCCTCTCCCGATGGATTTTCCGGTCCTGCGACAATGGATTTCTCTGAGTTGAAATCCAAAGTCGAATCTTTGAAATCTACCAAGCCGGAGAATTCTGATCTTTTATCCCACATTGAGTATCAGAAATCTACACACTCGAGCAAAGAACTGGCTTCAAAAGTGGCTAGTGATTTGTCTAAGCTAACCCATGTTGGGATCTCAGGGGAAGCTCAAATGGTGGATGTATCTTCCAAGGACAATACTAAGAGAACTGCATTGGCTTGTTGTAAAGTTTTTCTTGGGAAGAGAGTTTTCGATTTGGTCTTAGCGAACCAAATGGGGAAAGGAGACGTTCTTGGAGTGGCGAAAATCGCTGGCATTAATGGAGCAAAACAAACTAGCAGCTTAATCCCATTGTGTCATAACATTGCTCTTACGCATGTTCGTGTAGACCTAAGACTAAACCCTGAGGATTTTAGTGTTGACATTGAAGGAGAAGCTTCGTGCACTGGAAAGACTGGAGTTGAGATGGAAGCTATGACTGCTGTATCAGTTGCTGGTTTGACAGTTTACGATATGTGTAAGGCTGCGTCGAAAGATATCAGTATTACAGATGTGAGACTCGAGCGTAAAACTGGTGGAAAGAGCGGATATTGGTCTAGAGGGGAGTGAACACAATGAACATTTGTCTCCGTAGCTGTGGAGGTTAGCTTTCTTTATCTTGCTAGGATTTGTTGTTCCCCAATTATTTGGTTGCTTGGGATGACCAATTATAAACAGAGAGATGGAGTCCTTTGAATCTTGAATAGTCAGTTAGGCACTTGGGAATGAAACTATAGTTAAGCTCTTCTACTTGCTCAAAGTATGTTGCTAGTGCTGTTTAAGTTTGAGTTCTATCAATGTGTTTTGTGATCCGGTTTGATTTGGTTGCCTGGGTGATAAATGGTATGTAGGAAGAAAAGAGTGGAATATAACCTAGTGATGCTAAAGAATGCTTTGAAACAACCAAGTTTGTTCTTAATTGATTGGTTTTGTCTTCGTTTTTCTATTCACAGTTGTTCTTATAATGGGCTCTAGTAAGAACATACATAGCATCTCTCATGAAACTCTCTTATTATAAGAGTCAGATAATTGCAATAAAATTAAAAGGATCCGATAACATAGTGTTTATATATATAGAGTATGGGTATATATAGGTTATCATGTCGAATTTTGAATCTTTTTGTATGCACATGGATCATGTTACGACCCTTGCAATGATGAGTGAGCACTTAACAAATATAAAGCAGAGAAAGCTAGAAAGTCTGAAAGTGTGCTCTCTGCTGGCCAAAGCCTCTTTTTCTCTCTTTCTTGTAGTGGCTTTTGCTTTTTTGTCTCCTTTAATCAAATTATGTTTCTCTTCTCCATTTCCAGACCTCACCTCCTGATTTCTTAACAATGTATGTACTAAAACTTCATCAGACTGGAACTACGGGTAGCACTATGGCTTGTCCGGACAAGGAAAGGCCGTTGCGAAAAAAATCCGGTCAAGTAGGGACTTTCTTTGTACGTTTGGTACTTTGGTGATAAAGCATTTTTATAAAGAATTTCACCTAAACGGTATGGAAAACAATTGATGAAGTGAAGGTGTTTGATAGAAAAATCAATGCATTCCAACTGTGAAGACTGAAAAGTCATGATTCACTGTGCAGTCTTATTCATATAATGTCCACATTCTTTAGACAGTTGCGATAGATTGGTCACAGCATTTAATTGGTGGTCACACATACCAATATCATCACAAGATTAAAGATTTAGTACTCTTGCCCTTTTTATTATTTTCTTTTGTATTCATTTAAAGAAGGAGGTCACTATATTTGTGGTTATGCTGTAGTATATGATGCTAATGCTAACATAACGAAGCATTGAATATGGAAATTCCAAATCTTGGATGTCATCATTGCGAATTCATGCGGGCGGATAAATGAAAAGAGGGTTTGATGATATCGACGATCTAACAAGATTGTGAGATCAAAAGGTCGTGACGATAATATAGTAGTAAAATAACAATGTATTGGCAAATTACACCATCATGCAAAGTTTTGTATACATGAATAATAATATTTACTATGACATCCGTATTAGATTAGCTTTCGTCAGTACATTTGCATGTATTTTTGTTCACCCATGTGGAATGTTTCAGTTTGTGCAAGCCTCAAGAGTCAAGAGCGAAGATGTGCCACCAATCGTGGGGAAATTATTGGCCATTATTATTTAAAAAATATAGTATAGTATATCAAATTAGTTTTTCACTCCTTTTTTTACAAAGCTAATTCACTTAAATAAGCTAAAAATAATTTCATGACGACAAAAGAAAAAAAAGCTGCCACTTAAAGATATTATTTTTGTTAGTGTTTGTTTGTTATCCACCGAATCTAAAATGTCGCTTTTGCATTTCCTCAATCTTATGATAAAATATCTATTCCAATTAAAACGTATTATTATTTATTTATTACATAGCGAAAAAATTAAAAAAAAAGTCCGCTTGCTTCTACTTCTTTTTATCTGAGTGAGTGTGTTCTTCGAGAAGACTAGTGCAGTTATATATATACAGAGACCACTCTCACTTGCCATTTTCCCGAGAAAACGCGAGAGAAAAGCAAAACAAAATTATGGTAGGAAGAAGAAAAGCTTTACTCTTTAGTCTCTGTTTCTTCTTCCTCTCTCTTCCTTGCTTGTCTTCCCTTCCTGCATTTCAAACCCTTGTCCCCAATTCTCATTCTCTCCCTTCTGCTTCTCCGGTCTCATTCCAACCCGACTCCGACTCTCTGCTTGGATCCGAATTAGAATCCGAATCCGAGTCCGAGGCTTCCATCAGTCTAAACCTCGACCACATCGATGCTCTCTCCTCCAACAAGACACCAGACGAGCTCTTCAGCTCCCGCCTCCTACGCGACTCCCGGCGCGTGAAATCAATCGTCACTCTAGCCGCTCGAGTCCCCAGAAGAAACGTGACTCACGCGCCAAGACCCGGCGGATTCAGCAGCTCTGTCGTCTCTGGTCTCTCTCAAGGAAGCGGTGAATACTTCACGCGCCTCGGCGTCGGGACTCCGGCGAGATATGTCTACATGGTGCTCGACACAGGAAGTGACATCGTCTGGCTCCAATGCGCTCCTTGCCGGAGATGCTACTCTCAATCCGACCCGATATTCGACCCGAGAAAGTCCCGGACCTATTCAACAATCCCCTGTTCTTCACCTCAGTGCCGGCGATTAGACTCCGCCGGATGCAACACCCGTCGTAAGACTTGCCTCTACCAAGTCTCTTACGGCGATGGTTCTTTCACCGTCGGCGACTTCTCCACCGAAACCTTGACTTTCCGACGAAATCGCGTTAAAGGCGTCGCTCTCGGGTGTGGTCACGACAACGAAGGTCTCTTCGTCGGAGCCGCCGGTTTGTTAGGACTCGGTAAAGGAAAGTTATCGTTCCCCGGTCAAACCGGTCACCGGTTTAATCAGAAGTTTTCTTACTGTCTAGTCGACAGATCAGCGTCGTCGAAACCTTCCTCAGTCGTCTTCGGAAACGCCGCCGTTTCAAGAACCGCGAGATTCACGCCGCTTCTGTCAAACCCAAAGCTCGACACTTTCTACTACGTCGAGCTTTTGGGAATCAGCGTCGGAGGGACACGTGTCCCCGGCGTTACGGCTTCGCTTTTTAAACTCGACCAGATAGGCAACGGTGGAGTTATCATCGATTCGGGTACGTCTGTGACCCGGTTGATCCGACCCGCTTATATCGCTATGAGAGACGCGTTCCGGGTCGGAGCGAGGACCTTAAAAAGAGCTCCGGATTTCTCACTCTTCGACACGTGTTTCGATCTCTCCAATATGAACGAGGTTAAAGTCCCGACGGTGGTTTTGCATTTCCGTGGGGCGGACGTGTCACTTCCGGCGACGAATTATCTGATTCCGGTTGATACCAACGGCAAGTTCTGTTTTGCGTTTGCCGGCACGATGGGTGGACTATCCATCATTGGGAATATTCAGCAACAGGGTTTCCGGGTCGTATACGACTTAGCGACTTCCCGGGTCGGGTTTGCTCCACGAGGATGCGCTTAATCATGACCCGACCGGCGCACCGGTACGGACAATGTACTTTTGTTTTCGCAATTTAATGCATTTAGACTTGTGTTTTTTTTTTTCCTTTCAAATCGGACAAGTGAATCTTTAAGCGGTGGAGTTGAATACGTGTTGAGAAAAGCTTCACGTGTTGTCGGCTGTATTTATTATTAGTCTCGTCTTTATATAATTTTTTAAAAATCATCTTGCATTAAAACAGAGTGTGTATGACTTTTTTTTTTAAATCATAGCTAAACTAAAAACTCTTAATTTACTTTTAAGTTAACGAACAATTTTTGGGTTCACCCCTAGAGGTGAACCTATCTCATTCACCCCCTCTAAGCTAACTAATCAAAATTAGCCATGTCATCTAATTAAATGAATTAAAATAATTTATCTTATTAATTACAAACTTTAAATTTTAACCACTATATTATTAAACTAAAATTAAATATAATTTAGTTTATTTATAAAATCTAAACCCTAAAGTACTAATTTATCAACCCAAACCAAAATATAATCTTGTTTAATTACAAAATATAAACCCTAACCACTATTTTGTCAACCCAAACCAAAATATAATTTCGTTTAATTACAAAAGCTAAACCCTAACCACTATTTTATCAACCCAAACCGAAATATAATTTTGTTTATTTAGAAAATATAAACCCTAACCACTATTTATAAACCCAAACCAAAAAATAAATTCATCTATTTATAAAATCTAAACCCTAACCATTATTTTATAAACCCAAACCAAATAAAATTTCCTAAATAAAAATCCTACAAAATTTGTTTCTTTAATTTGTTTTATTTTATGATTTTAATTTTGATTTATTTTTTAAATAGAAAATGACATGGCACATTATTATATTTTGATTGGTTAATTAAGAGGGGTGAATGAGATAGGTTCACCCCTAGGGGTGAATCCAAGAATTTTTCTAAGTTAACCCAACAAATAACAACTGTGGAAGTTAGTTTAGATGAAGATTATTATAACTAATTTTCTCAAGTCAATGTTATAGTACTACTACGGAGATATCTTTACCTGAGGAAGGTAGAATAGGTCCAAAAATGTAAACTAATATTTTGTATTAAATTTTGGAAAAGTACAATGAACGTATACACATAGACATAGGGTACATGAGAAAATGTGTTGGGTCTTCTTAATTAGACAAAAACGACGATTCAGCTCGAAGTTAGAGATAGTGGTTCGATCTTTATACTGTGTTAATTATTTTTTACTTGTTTATTTTCGACTACTTTATTGGTTTAATTAATAATCTACTTTAGCATCAAATTACCGTTAATACGTGTGCCTACTTGAGCTCGAGTCTCTCCACATGTTATGCGAGTTGGCTAAATAGTTGTATCAGCTAAAACTGAAATTAACATCCGAGTTCAATAAACACAACACGAAGTTAATGAAAATATGTTACAAAAGAATAAAATGTCTTTAAAAGGAGGAGATGGTGTGAGAAAGAAGATTATGTCGGTGAGTACGAATATGTTCAGTGAATGGTGTATAGCTCGTGATGATCCAAGATTGAGCATATACCATCTGATGTGTCAATCAACTCCATTTTGAAGAAACCTCTTGATTTTATCAAGTCACATTATCTCAATTTCTTGGCAGCTTGGAACTTTAACAAGAAAGCTAAGAGGAAGCCAATACTTTAATTAATTTTTTGTTAGTCTACTTGTTTTTTTTTTTCTTTTTCGATTGATAATAATAAATAAACCACTCATATAATAATAAGCATAACTATCCAGTTGTTCAAAACATATTTATAGATATCTGTGATCTAAGTATATGCCATTACCGTAGACCTTAACTTTAAGCATTTGCCTAAATGTGGTGTTACTAACAATTTTCAAAAGAAAAAATAGAACATCATTTCCGATATTCAATATTCACCGTGCGTTGACCTTTCCATTGACTCATACTGAAAATGATATTTTTACATAACAACGTTCATAAATAGAAACGATTACCCTATTAATTCGTTTTCCTCGCATAAATTTGCATCCTAGAGTTAATTAATTTTCTCATCCCATAACCATTTTTGTGTGTAAATGGAGCTCCGTAAATGGAAAATACGAGCTCCATTACACATCTTCGTCGCCGTGACATTATTCCTCCTTCAGCTTTTGGCCGCCAATGCCAACATTGATCACAGCGCGCAATCCTCAGTGTCAGCGACGAGTAGTCGGCTTTTGGCATCGCCACGGTCGTTCACGGGGAGACCATCCACGTGGAGGTCCAGGTGGAGGAGAAGACGACGTCGTAACAAAGTCAACAGAGCTAGCAGAGAGTTTTTATTCGCGCATAACGTCGTGCGAGCGCGCGTGGGAGAGCCACCGCTTCAGTGGGACGGGAGATTAGCTGCTTACGCGCGCGCGTGGGCGAACCAACGCGTGGGAGATTGTAGGCTTGTTCATTCTAACGGTCCGTACGGAGAAAACATATTTTGGGCTTCTCAAAATACATGGAGGCCAAGAAATGTTGTTAAAGTGTGGGCCGATGAGAATAGATTCTATGACGTGAATGCCAACTCGTGCGAGCCGCACCAAATGTGCGGACACTACACGCAGATCGTGTGGAGAGATAGCACCAAGGTTGGGTGCGCTAGTGTGGATTGCTCCAACGGTGGCGTTTACGCGATTTGTGTTTATAACCCACCGGGAAATTACGAAGGCGAAAATCCTTTCGGAAGCTATAAAGGTCTGGTAGGTCTTGTCCGGGACGATCCACCAGCGGTGATCGGAGGAATGGCTTAAGAGCAGTGGCATAATCCATGTTTTTTAGTTATTTTTATTTCTTTTTCCACTACTTATTTTTTGGAATAAACTTTACCTTGGGTTTATCCAGTGGAACAATCATCTAATAAAATAAACAAGAAGTTTATCATTTCGATTGGGATTAGATGTAATCAATGACAAATACGTAGGTAAATTAAGTGGAGCTAAACGTTCAAACATGGAGAAGGAGAACCAAAACAAAAAAATTATGTCCAAAATTTCCTACGTTTTTAACTTTTATTGGCTGAATTAAAAATAGAAAAACCCCAAGAAAAATGATACATATCACCTCAATTTTTGGTAAACAAAAGAATAGCTTGGCTTCTTCCCTCTGCACAACCTTTCCGGTTAAAATCCAAATCATTGCGACTCCATTTTAAGGCTATCACAAGCCTCAGCTTCCCATGACTGATAACGAAACTACCTGCGAATGTAGACATCTACAAAGATTCAGTTATTACAATACATATCTCTGTCTATACATGTTTCTGAAGATTCAGTTTAAGAGTTTAGAAGCTAACCTTTATACTGCCCCTAAGAAACAGCAAAGATTAGAGAGTTTTGCATTTCATCGAACTGGCTGAATCTCTGGAGAAACTTTCACGCAACAGACCTTGGAGCCTCGCTGTTTCTGATAACTCTACTATAACCGAGCTTGAACGGTGGTGAATCATACGGCTTAAGCAAACTTATTGGCATTCTCAGTGTATGTTTCCTGCTTCGCCTCCCTCTTAATAAAATGCTAAAAGTTTTCTCACCATCCTCGTCTTTTCGGTTTCCAGTCTCCATTTCACTGCGAGCCACTTCATTGTTCACATGGTTAACAGAATCCATCACTTCGTCCCCGATAGCCACTTCTCTCTTGCCTTCTTCTTCTTCTTCTTCTGCCTTTTTTGTACCTTCTTCTACTCCTGAAGTGTCAATATCAGTTGGCAGAATCACAGTTGGCTCTAACACAGTTGCAGCTATGGGTTCAGTGATCATGTGCGGAGGCGGAAACTCAACGGGATGGCATCCAGGCCAAACCGTTCTTGGTACAAAATCCGACACATTGAGCTGCCACGGGAACTGATTGGGATGAAAAGGACCACTTGTTACAGGGTAAGTACTTGTGGGTACTGATTGAGTGTAAGGAGGAGGGTAAACAAAGGACATTGGCTGCATCAAGTTTGGAGTTGTCGGAGGTGAAGGGTAAGGAGGAGCAGGTCCGTGATGGAGAGTCATGTTCACTGGCCATGACGGTCCAATATTCATTCCTATTGGAGTAGGACGTATAATACTTGGAGGCGATGATGGGTTAAATGGAGCAGCTGAAGCAGATAGCTTCTTGTTAGGTAACAATCCTCGTGAGGCGTCGCTTAAGTCTGTAGCAGATATTAACAGTTTTTCCTTCAGATCTTCGGTATCAGCAGCTAACCGATCTGCCATTTCTTGCTCTGTGGTTGAATGAATTATATCTGTTACACTTTCGTTTATCAATTCACCTTCAACTTGTTCTTCAACATGAATGCCACCACCAGATTCTTCATTTTCATTCAAAATGTTTCCTCCGACTACAACTTCAGATGGTTGTAACTCTACTTTGATCTCTTCTTCGCCTTGGTTTTTGGTAGATTCCAGTTCCATGTCTGCAGTAATTTCATTTTTTACCTCTTCTTGTAATCCTGTCATCATCTGCTCATCCCTTGTACCCTGTTCAATTTTCTTCTCCAGCTCATCACCCTCTTGCTTATCTGAAGCTTCAGTTTGTGGAGCCCAGACTTGATACTTGGCAATCGAACCAGGTGGTGCTAATGCTACTTCCTTATATGATGGAGATTTTCCAAGACTTACAACAGAGTTTTTCGTGTGGTAGGCTTCACTTTGCACAGTACTAGACTGAGTAGATGGCACAACAGAAGAAGCATCTGTCTTTAAACCATCTTCTTCTGAAGTTTCACCAGCACTCTTAGTGTTACCAGAAGACGGCTGCATCGACTTAACCCGATACGCCAAGGTTTTGACTATCTTCCTCCCAAATTTGGTGCCTTGAGTTGTTAAACCAGGAGAATGATGATCCGCATAGCTTGCATATGAGGCTGTTCGCTTTTTGAGAATGTAGTATTTGCCGTTCTGCTGAGTAGCATTCTGGAAAAGAGGATTATCAATATCAGCTTCAACATTCTTCTTTTGATATGTATATACCTTCCCGATGGATGCTCGTCGCTGCTTCATCCTGCGGCCATATGATCCAGCAGATCTCGGTCTTTGCACTGGTTGCCATCCATCTTCACTTCCATCAGGGTTCTGTGGCTCGGTTGAAACTTCACTAGACGTAATTGGATTACTGTTATCCATAATAGCCTCCTCAATGACTGGAGGAGAAGGTGGGTCTTCAACTGATGCAAGAATTGTCCCGTGATTCTCTTCACTTGATTTACCTTCTTCTGATCCAGTTTCTTCCATCTCCTCCTCAGACATCTCCTTTTGTTTTTCTCTAGGAGCTTCTGCTAAGTGCTCAGAAACATTGCTCTGCTTGGATTTTTCCTTTAGCTACAAAAAAAACACAGGTCCAACCATTCAGTATTTTTAACCATTAAAAGTCAAAGAAATAAAAATCATACCTTCATAATATAGTTCTTCCTCTTTGCTGCCCCACTCTCTTTCCCTTTTGCGTTATGGCTTGGGTTAATATAGTCGAGTAGATCGGATACACTGCAAAACATTATCAACTTAAGGATCTGGCCAAGGGGGACACTTGATTGACACAAACAGCATAAGAACTTCTAAATAACTAAGGAGATTTTGAAGGAACTTGTTTGACCTTAGGTGCCCTTTGCTGGCTATAGACGCATCTGGCTTAGGAGTACCATTTCGTGCAGCTTCTTGTTGTTCAAAAGCCTTGGATTCAAAGTACTCTAGCCAAGCAGCAGCATCCTGCAGTATATAATCAATTGTCATTTTTAAAGAATGCATACAAATGTCAGAAAGATGACTGATTTGGCTGATAGGATATCATGGGAATATATACCTGAGTACGTAAATCATCTGGCCCAAGCTTTGCTCGGAGGATTCTTAAGGTTGTTTGCTCATGCTGAACACTTAAATGGTATGCCTCCATCAACGAGAGCGCAATTGCTATGGCATGGTAACTTGCAGCAGTCTGAAATTTAACATCATTGGCAGCAAACATATTAGCAAAATCAAATCAAATTTCTTAAAAAGTGATGTTCCAAAAAACTCAGAGAGCATTGAGAAAAGAACCTGGATATGATCAGGACCAAGCAACCTTTGATTACACTTGAGAGCTTTGTGAAGATACCTCAAGGCAACATGTACATTTCCTAGACCTTCCTCCATCATGGCTACGTTGATGTATGTAGCAGCAGTGTTTGGATGAGATGGGCCGCATGTGAGATGTAAGAGATACAGCGCACGCTTAACATACCTACCAAAAACAAAAAATACCCACAGTTTAATATATGGTAGAAAGAGACACCAAACATTTAAACCACTCGCAGTTCTGTTAAATCAAAACTTACTTAAGAGCCAGCTCTGTATGCTGAAGCCTATAATAGAAGACAGCAAGATCACCATAACTCTTCATCGTATCTGGATGATCAAGTCCAAGTTCCCTCTCATTGATATCTAAAGCCTTTTGCTGATATATTGTAGCCTGTTTTAACAAAACCTTTTAGTTTCGCAAATGTCATATAAAGAAAAGGTATCACAACCTAACCACATATATAACAGACCTGGTTAAAGTCACCAGTGTGATAAAGAACTACAGCAAGTAAACTGTAAGCTCCGGCTGTCATTCTGTGATAGGGACCGCAAACTGCCACAAGCTTAGCAAGAGCCTAAAGGTGGGAAAAACAAAAGAGACAAAACAACAAAACCAAATCATGAAGATGTACCGAGAAACCAAAATTATTATCAAGAAAGTAGAAGTTTTATTTTTCTGGATATGTACCTTTGTTCCATATGTAACCGCATCTTCAAGCTTTCCTTTGTCTAAAGCTGTTTTAGATGACTCCAGAAGTTGCCTTCCATCAGCAGATGAACATGCTGCTTGCTGCAGAGATTTAGAATAGAAAGTATTATCAATAACAATGGCTGACTAACATACTAGAAAGAATCCAAATTCTGATAGACCATTTTCCAAGTATCCTTTATTCTTGTCTATTACCTTGTGCACTGGGACCAGACTGACCACATCTGTTTTCCGGAACGGTGCTGGAGAATCCATGTCAAAGTCTCTTGGAATCAACTCAATACCCACCTGAAAAATAAATTATTAAGCACAATTTCCTTAATCAATAAAGTAAACAGCAACAAGTTTATATAACTCAATCAAATGTTCTGGTTAAAACATTCATAAATTACCTTATGGCATAATCCACGGAGAATAGCAAACTTCCGTAGATCTTTGTAACTGAAGGCATTAAGATCATAATCATATCGTTTCTTCAAAAATTTCTCCAACCACTGGAAGATCAGAGGATGTACATTCCAAGTGTTCTGTGGTGGTGCTGCAGTATCTTCAGGAATCCCAAGCATCATGTTCAAAGCAGCAGCTACTTTTATAGCTATATTGTCAGTGTCGGTAGCGACGGCAGAAATCACCGCCTGGAGGATATGTTTAAGGGCTCTTACTATCATCTCATGAACACACAGTGACTGTACATGTGACAACTTATCTGAAAGCTTCACCTGTTGAGCATACACATGAAATTGATAACTAAGAAAAAAATTCATCTTGAATAGATTCTAAGAACCATGAGGTCAAAAAAACCAACTTACAACATATCCTAAGGAACGCATCCGAAGACCTCTTGTGTGCATAAAATCAGTTAGCGTCCGGCCATCTACAGGGGAGAGCTCCAACGAACCAAAATCTGCCACCTATATTCGGTGATAAATAAATATACATATGATTTGTTAATATCTAATATAGCCAACAGAAAACACTACAACAAAATTTATACTCAGTTACCAGTTTCGGAATAGCGACTTCAGTATAATAATTCTGTGCCAAGTCGACAAGTTCTTGCAAAGACTGTGAACAAATATTCCTTGTTAGCACACAATAAGTAAACAAACATAGAGCAAAAGTTGGAGTTGTTGAACAAACCTTGTGATGAAGTCCAGTATCTGACTCTTTTAGGCGAGTGTAGGCTGCATCAGACAACAAATTCTTCAAGACAAGTACATTTTCT